ACACACACACACACACACACACACACACACACACACACACACACACATCACTGCATTGTTCACAGCTATTGATCACAGCTACGGTACTGCTAACTTCATACTTCCCGTCACATCCACGGCTGGCCGCCGAGCTTGCAATACTCTGGCAGACGCACAGCTGACAACCTTGCAGCTAAACTTGGAGCCTTACAGGGAGAGTGGCTGCATGCGTCCATGACTATGCATGCAACGTCATGGCTGTTAACTCTCATAGACAAATGAGCTGGGGACTCAGTGGCCCGTCTTGCTCATGTACTACAGCTGGCTGTAAATTAGGGATCGAACCAAATAATAGCGACGCCGTGGTAGAGACGTTGTATGCGGCTATGGTAGCGACCTGTCAATCACAAGGAAGCCACACCCCACCTTTAGCTGCAGTAAACTGATAAAAAGGATGCCGAAATAACTAAAAAATAACGCAGATTTTTTTAAATTTACATCCCTGATTAGTTTGACGTTGGATCCCGTACAGTTAAAAACAGTGATAGCGACATTTACCTAACCCATTGAATTCCAATGAAGCAGACCATCAAAATGCAAAGTCAGGACTGTGAAAGAGTGAGAGATGGAAAACAGATCAGACACACAAGTGATGGCTTGTTGCCTCAGCCGAGGAGCAGAGACGCTGACGGGACAAAACAAAATAGAGTAGGGCGGAGACTAATTATTATTTTTTACGATCGATACGTCGGTCATAAATGTTCTTAACTGATAAACACGTTATCTGTAAAATGTCAGAAAACTGCAGGAAAAAAAAAGCCTGTTATAGTTTTACAAAGCTTAAGGTCAAGTCTTCAAATATCTTCAGAACATCCAGCAGCTAATCCTTCCATTGGAGACCAAATAAATCAATTACCTAAAATAATCTGTATCAATTGAGTTATGGATTAATAGTACACCCTAAACAATTAGTCAACAGATTTGTGAATTGACAGAAAACTACTTTGTTAATCGATTTCTGCAAAAGTACCCCAAATTTCTCTGTTCCAGTTCCTGAGAGTATTTTCTTCTTTTTATGATGCGATAGTTCATTTCATATCTTTGGGGTTTTTTTCCCCTGTTGATTGGACAAAAACAAAAACGCATAAAAAGACGTCACGTTCAGCTTTAGGAAATGTGATGGGTCATTTTTTTTGTGAACATTTTCTAATGTTTTAAAGACCAGACAATTAACAGCATAGTTCAGCAAATGATTATCAGATTAAAATAGGTAATACAGATAATAATTATCAGACTAATCATGGTGGCTCTATAATATACTTTCCTTGGTCCAGATCACTGAAACCAAGTAATAGGCTCTGTTTGCCAAATTACTGTAAGAGTTTAGAGGATGAACAAAACATGGTGGCTGTCAGTTTACTTTTCAGATTATGAGAGTTAAATATACAACAGTTTCTAAATTATCCTCTTGAAGCCTGGACATGACGAGCACTTGTAATAAAAAAGAAATACGGGTCTGAATTTTTCAAACTCTAAATATCCAGCTCCTCCTGACTGAACTAAGTCAGTGAGATCCCAAGTTAAGCGTGCTGGCTGCACTGCTGGTTCCTCTTGAGAAGCAGATGTCTCTGGATTTATTTATAACCTGGTGTTCCTGCTCTTTAACTCCACTGGTTCCTGACTAACAACAATAACCACCGTTTCCCTGTAGTGCTGGAGCATGTTGGCCCTGACAGCAGAGCGGCTGCTTCAGTGCGTGTCCTTGCGTGAGGGTAGCGGTTAGAGGGTTTAAGGAGTTGGGGCGGTGGTGGTGAAGAGTGTGGTGGTGTAGCTGGGATAGATGAAGAGCACACGCGCACACACACGCACACAGTAGAGTAACATGATCCACAGACTGCATGATGGGACAGGGAGGGAAGACGGCTAAGAATAGCACGAAGCCTGACACACAGAGCGCCGAGTATGCCACCACGACCACCAGCAGCAGCAGTAACATTACTCCACTACAGCTTCCAGAGTACCTCCTGCTGTGAGCTCTCACACACACCATGAGGAAATACATGTCATTTCTCCTGGTCTCCCATGTGGTGGCCACACACACACACACACACACACACACACACACACACACACACACAC